GGAGAAAAGGGAGAGGGAAAGAGGGAGAGAGGGAAGGAGGAAGGAGGTGAGGGAGAGGGAAAGGGGAGAGAAGGAGAAGGAGGGAGAAGAGGGAGAGGGAGGGAGGAAGGAGGTGAGGGAGAGGGAAAGGGAGAGAGAGGGAGGGAGACAAAGGGAGGGAGGCGAGGGGGAGAACCTAGTTTTGCCATGTCTTCCTAGTCTTTCAAGTAGTAGGTGGAACCATCTAAAGCCACCGGCTGGGGACGAGACTTGGGTACCGTCAAATCTAGATTGAACAGGCTTATGGTGCCGTGGGGAGGGAGGGGCCAAGGTGGCTCTTGAACCCCAAATGCCACCAAAGAGGCGACAAACGTCCCTTGTGCAATTGCGCCATGGAGGTTTCAAGCCATCTCGGTGGCCGGCCGGCCGGCCTTGCTAGCCGGTGGCTTCTTTCCGTGACTTGTATGTCCCCGTTGCGCTTGCCAGGCTGAACCTGCGGGAGCTGGGTCCTTGGGCCTCCCACATGCGCTGGATCATCTGGATCATGGCCTCGGGTGGGACGCTCTACGTCTTCTTCTTCCATGAACGGTGAGAGCGAGCGAGCGAGCGAATCCTTGGAGGGAAAAATTCAGGCTTTGGCTGGGAAAGGGAGCTCAGGCTTTCGTGGGTCCATACCGCCCTCTTGTGGATAGGAAAGATATCACGGGCTTTCTTTTTGGCTTCCTTGTGTCGTTTTTTTTAAACGTGGCTTATTGATCGTGGCTTATTGATTGAACAAAGTTAGGAACAGGGTCGGAAGATCGTGAAAAGAAGGAAAACCTGCCCCATAACTCATGGGCCCAGGCTGTCCAGACAGAAGAAAAGAATTTTCTCAAATAGATGCACCTCCCACCGTGTTTTCCTCGAAAATAAGACCTGGTCTTATTTTGGGCTCAAAAAAAAAAGCCCTAGGGCTTGTTTTCAGGGGGGAACATGGTACGTAGCTGCATGAATTCATGGCACTGAAGGAGCAGTGTGTCTTGTTAAACGGTGGTCCTTGACTTATGACTGGTTGCTTAGCAGCTGTTCAAAGTTATGACGGCCACACACCCCTTCCCCAAAAAGCTACTTACAACTTGGGTCGGAAGTTCCAGCAGCAGCTGCCCCTCTACCCCCAGTCGTAAAATCGGGTTGGTCACCTGGGAGTCCACTTTACGACCGTCGTGACTCAGGACTGTAATTGCCGGGGCTCAATTCCAGTCCTACATTAGGAATGGTGCGGTGGCCGAGATGTAGAGCTCTCGCCCTCACAATCAGGGGATGGTGAGTTCGATTCTAGGTAGAGGAAGATATTTCTGGGCACAATGAGAATATATTTGCTGAACAAAACTCCTCATTGGCGACAGGAAGGGCATCCGGCCACTGAAACCCTGTGCTAGCTCCATTCAATTGCCCATTCTCCACTCCACAAGGGATCATGGAGTCATTAAAAGAAGATAAATTCCAGTCATAAATTGATACTGTATTCCCGACCCCTGTTGTTTTAGAAACTCGGTTTGATGGCTTCCCAGGTGAGGTGAGCCCAGAACAAACTGGGGTTAATTCAGCAACGGGAGGTGGGGGGGAGGGAAGCTGATCATGGCTTAGCTTGAGTTGCAAACCATATCAAGGTTTCTCAAACTCAGGTTGGCTTTTTTGATCCCCAGGTACAAGGTGGTGGAGCTGCTTTGTTACCTGGTCATGGGTTTTTTCCCTGCCCTGGTCATTCTCTCCATGGTAAGTGACACACATGGAAATGCAGAACGTGGCAATCTCCATGCAGATAGTCCTCGACTTAAAACCGCTCGTTTAGTGGCCGTTCCAAGTTAACAACTGCAGTGGGGGAAAAAATGCGACTTTGTGACCGTTTTTCACAGTTACGACCTTTGCCACATCCCCATTATCGAGAGTTTTGCAGGGATAATTCAGCGCCAGAAAAATAAACACAGATGGCTGATGTTTCATTTAACATCTTGATAAATATAATAAGATTTTACAAACCGGTTGTAGATTTCTCCCACATGGAGCAAACTCAAACAGAAACACGTTGCAAGTTCAGAGCAGAGCTCCAGCCTTCAGCAAGCAAGCAAGTCAGTTTCATCTTCAACGGACAGACTCAGAGCTCAACATAGCTGCCGAGTTGCAGAGCTTAGCATAGAGCCATGTCTAGGCTACTTCTAGTTTCAGTTTCCAAACTGTCCTCATTGGCTGACTTAGTTGCTATGCCTATTCATTGGCTGACCTGGTTACCAAGCTCTATTCCAGTTCATGAATATACTGACATCCCTGGTCACATGATCAAAATTCATACGCTTGGCACCTGGTTCGTATTTATGGCGGTTGCCACATCCTGGGGGTCACATGATTCCCTTTGGCGACCTTCTAACCAGCCAAGTCCACAGGGGAAGCCGGATCCGCTTAACAACCAGGTTACTAATTTATCAACTGCGGCGACTCCCTTAACGGCCTCAGGCAAGAAAGGTGTCAGCGTTCCAGAAAACTTCCACTCCAACCACTAACTCCAAGACAGGCATCTTCTCAAAAGTTCAGTTTTTATTTGGATAGTAAACTGGTACAACTGGGGAATCCTGAATCTGAAAGTTCCGGGCTTCCTTGCAATAAGTAAAAACTACAAATCCACCCCCTGCACCCATCATCACATCACATGCCCCAATCACCATTCGCCCCAGCTTGTGATGACCCAGAGGGGCGTGGCACAAAAGTAACAAAGTCCCAAAAGTAGGTCAAGTCCCTTTAAATCCTCCAACTTGGCCCCCAATGTCCAGTTATCCTTGGCTAGAGAAAAAAAACTTTCCCAAGAACAATTTTTAAAGGGAAGAAATTCCGTCCAAACTCAAAGTACGTATAAATTAGAAATAAAAGCCAACACAAACCACACTGCAACAATTAACGAGACCGGGCAGGATAAGGGATGGAAGACGTCAAAAGATAACGAAAATAACACACTTGGGAGGATGCCAGAACTCAGATAAGACTTGACAAACCAGAATAATTTCACGCTTTGCTTCCAGCAACTTTGCCATGAGCAGTTTGCCCTTTTAAACAGTCTTCCCAGCTGCAGCCCATGAAGGGGATCAGGGCCATTTCCTCCCCTGTAAACCACACAATTCCTGTTGCTCTTTTATCTGTTCCTCTCTGCATGGCCTAGGATGAAGTGGGGGTGGGCCTGGGTCTTCCTCTGAATGCCCAGCCAGACTGTACCCTTCCCCAGTTTCCTCCACAGCCACCGGAGCCACACTCCCACTCCCTGTCAGCTGTTCCGCCTCTCCCTCGGAATCAGATTCCAACAAGGGCATGACACTTAGGCACAAAATAATATGACCTTGACTTAGAAGAAGAATGCTATTATGTCCAACTACATACACTCCAAGAAATTCCCCCCTCCCACTTTCCCAGGCTCAAAATGTGGCAGCGTGGGAGCATCTGGTCTCATTATGGGTCCCAAAGTTGACAAAAGGTCATAAAATGGGGGCAAAACTCACTGAGCAAATGCCTCACTTAACAACAAAATTTGGGGGCTCCATTGTAGTCACAAGTTGAGGATTACCTGTGCAATAGTCTGCTCCTGAACGAATCAGGAATTTATAGGTAGCCCTGTAGACTTAAAACCATTCGTTTAGCAATGGTTTGAAGTTACAACGGCCCTGAAAAAGCGATTTACAACCAATGGCTACCCTTGCCACATCCTCACGGTCACGTGATCAAAATGCAAGTGCTTGCAACTGGCATGGACTTATGACAGTTGTAGCATCCTGGGGTCATGTGATCATCATTATCTGACCTTACCATCTGGCTTCCAACAAGCCAACTCGATGGGAAGCCAGATTTGCTGAAGAACCTTAGGACTCCCTGAAGAACTGCAGTGATTCGTTTAACAACGGTGCCCCCCCCAAAAAAAGATCATAAAACGGGACACACAACAATGGCCTTGCTTAGCAATGGACGTTTTTGACTCCCTTGTGGGTCATAAGTCGAGGAGTATCTATACTTGACTTTCACAGATTCTGGGTCTTCTTCTCCCACTCCACTGACTCCCTTCTCTGCTTCTCCCGGTTGTTGCAGCCCAACACGGATGGTCTGGTGGAACTGGTAGCTGGTGGCATCTTCTACTGCTTCGGTACAGTCTTCTTCAAGAGTGATGGACGCATCCCCTTCGCCCATGCCATCTGGCATCTCTTTGTGGCATTCGGAGCTGGCACTCATTACTATGCTATTTGGAGGTACCTCTATCGGCCAGATGGTCTCCAATCTCACATCTCCAGGTAGTTGCCTTAAAGATCCCAAGTCCAAAGGGAGGAGGTCCTTCCTTCCCTCTTTGGTATCTTCTGGAAGGTTGGTCCTTCTCCTCCTCCTCCATGTTCTTCAGGACATCCAAGGTGAGATGGTGGCTTTTAGACTGGACTTCTTGCCCAGGCCCAGAACTTTGAAGGTGGAACTACAAAAGAACTGTGACAACACATATTATTATTATTCTTGGATGAAAGTTCTGACGTGAAAGGAACAATGGATGGGTCTTAGTGAAAAGGACAGTTTGGAAGCAACTACACTGGAAACATCTGCTACAACTCAAGAGCCCAAGAAGCCAACTGAGAAGTAAGAAATGTCTCAAGAGATTGGTCGGAGAGACTTTTGAGGGTCCGTGGGTTCAATGGTTGTGTTTCCATTCTCTCTCCTACCACAAAAACAAAGTCCTCTGTTGGCCTTCTACTCTACCTCTTATGATGCAGTTAGTTGATCCTCTCTAAGCCATTCCAAGAAGATTGTAGAGGTAGAACTGCCATGGCTTTGCTGTCTGAAGTAATTCCTGTGAGGTCTCTTGATGATTAAGAGGGAGGTAGCAATGTAAGATAATCTGTATAACCTTAAAATCTTGACATCCAACTGATTTGGAAGCCCTTTGACCCAGAGGTGGTATTCAGCAGGTTCTGACCAGTTCTGGAGAACCAGTAGCGGAAATTTGGAGTAGTTTGGAGAACTGGTGGTAACCTTCCCTTTGGAGTGGGGTGGGAATGGAGATTTTACACTATCCTTCCCCTGCCATGCCCACCAAGCAACACCCCCCAAGCCTTGCCACGCCCACAGGACCAGTAGTAAAAAAAAATTTGAATCCCACCACTGCTTTGACCATGTCATTCTGAAGAGATACGGTGAGAAGATAGATGGGATCCTGTTCCTTTAGAATGAGGTGGTGCAAGGGACCATGTTCCTTCAGGAGGAAATGGTGGAAGGAACTACCTTCCTTCAGACTGTGGGATGGACTTCAGGAGGAGATGGTGGAAGGGACCATGTTCCTTGAGGAGGAGTTGGTGGAAGGGATTCCTTCAAGATTAGATGGTAGATGAGACCCTATTGCATTATGTCCTCTTTTCCCCATTTCCCTCTGTGTAAAACCTCCTCACAAATCCCAACTAACAGTGTCAGCATTGAGTAGGGTCTGGACTTCTCTCTCTGTCGATATTTACTAGCTGGGAGAAGGCCAAACCAATCAACCCGCCCACCCAATATTCTGCAACAGTCCAGGGTATGGGCCCACCTTAGGATTCTGACTACCTCATGGTGCTTCATGGATAGAGTAGATCTTTGGTATTGTCACAAGCTTAAGAGTTCTCTAAGGCAGTTGGTCCTTCCTTTAAGCCTGCTTGGTATAATTTCGGCTCCCTAAGAGTTACTGCTGATACCTGAATCACAGGCGGTTATGATTTAAGTCTTCTTCCCAAGGAGAATGAGTTGAAAAACTAGGTCTATCATTTATAGCAGGGGTGGTCCAACCTTGAGAACTTTAAGACTTTAAGACCTGTGGACTTCAACTTCCAGAATTTTAAGACTTGTGGACTTCAATTCCCAGAATTCTTTGGCCGGCTGAGGAATTCTAGGAGTTGAAGTCCACAAGTCTTAACATTGCCAAGGTTGGACACTCATGGTTGATAGCTTTCCCATTCATGACAAGACTAAGGTGTCTCTCTCCATCATGTCAAGTCTACTTCTGGTGACCTCCTGTGGTTTTCTTGACAGCATGTTGGAAGTAATTTGCACCACCCTCTTCCAGCATAAGATTTTCAGTTTCCACTCTAGCCTACAGCACTGGGATTCTCCATCAGAATCCCATTCAAATATTAACCAGGCCCGACCCTGCTTAGCTTCCCAGATTCAAGGACGCCAGCCAACTGTTCTTGCCTTTGCTGTGAATTCCATTATGGACCCTTCAACCAAATCAACTTGGATTCCTTGAAATCTCTGTTTGTGGCTAATCCTGATTTCATTTTTCTGTTTTGTGACTGTTTTGTACTCTATAATCAGGGGAGCAAATGGGTGACACCGATCGCCCGAGCATTTTGTACTAACTTTTCATGACTTTGTAACTTTAAAAGAATGTCGGTGAATTTTTGAATAAGTCCTGTATTTTAAACCACTAGTCTCTTATTTAAACATAAGTATTTTATATTTAACACACGGTATTATTTAAGGCCAGCGGTAATAAAAACCACGTTAGCGAAGAGGGTTTCTTGTGGAATAAGGTTTAAATAATAAAAAAAATAACTTCTTTGGGTCTGTATTTATTATTACTGAAAATGGGAACAATTTTAATGAGGGTTGTTTTTTTTTTTTTAAAGGGGAAGCCATTATTCATATGCTGATGGCTGGCTGGGGAATTCTGG